AATGTTTGTAATATTGAAAGTATAAAACTTGCGTAACTAGTTTTGAAATTCGAAATAAGCTAAAAATGAATTGAGATGTCACTTGAAAAAAAAAAAAAGAATTTAGTGGATTACAAATTTAAAAATTTTCAATGAGTTCTAATTGCTTTCATATTCGAAGAATATGAAGAAAATAGGATTCGAGTCTGTACTTTAGGTAACCACTCAATCATCCAATTCAAAAGAGGAGCGGAAAATTGATCCAAGCGAAGGAACCTAAAATGACTGTAAATTGAAAATATCCAAAAAGTGAAAGAATTTGAATTTTTAAAATACACATTTACGTCAGAGTATCCGTCAATTTTCGATGAATTTGCGCTACCCAGAACTGTCGCTACCATCTTCAATCCTGAGCAGGGCATACTCGTGTCTGATTTTCATGAATGGACAAGGACGTTCGTGTGAACTCTGGCAATACTGCAAACTCAGCGAATACTCTGCTGGTGCAGGTATAGCGAGTTATGCAAGGAAATATTAGTAAACAGAGAGGGTGTAAATTTAGGTTATTCAGTCATATGACTATACATGACGGTGTTACAATTCATAATATTTATGAAATTTAAAGCATACACTGAGATTTTCAATTGGAGCAAACTTCGTAATTTTTAGTTCGATATATGGTAATAGGTATGAATTTATGAGGAATCGTGTCTTTGGAAAATAAATAAGGCATTGTTCGAGATCGAGATGGAGATATATCCTTCGTCGTCGTAGTCAACGCATATACCACTGATGATTTCTGTCGCAGTAGCAGACGAAACGTTTGGAACAACCACGTCCCACCAACCTGGTGGCTGTGTAAAATCCTTCTAATATCTCTCAGGGTTGCGCGTAATTTATTTTTGGAGGGATTATTGAATGTATTTCCAAACAGAACGTCCTGTCTGGCGGAAAGAGTGGTTTAAGAAAGCGTTTAAACTTTGTTTCACTTTTTTAATAATAATGAATCCAATTTTTTATGTAAAATGTCCTAAAATTTTGTTACAGTATAATTTCTCTTAGAGTGGTTAAGGAATTTCTGAAATTCGAAAGCCTGACAGTTCCGCTACTTCCTGGAAGTTTAGTAACAACTAATAAAACTCTTATACATTGTAAAAAGACTCCTTCTGAGACAGGAAAAAGCCCGTAGCAATTTATATTATTCATTCAAAAATCACCAAAAAATATTCCTCTTGGAAATTCTGGGAAAACTGAGCATAACTTTTATTACGCTGATATTATCTTAACGAGTGTAATCGAAGTTAGAAATTTTGAAAATCGCAATCAATATTTTTCATGTTTCACCATGATGTTACAAAAGCGATTAATTATGAATGAAAAAAAAGTACTTGTTGGTTCCTCGTATGAAAATTCGAAGAACCAACAGCTAGGCCAAAGTCGTTTACCGTCACCTCAAAAATCCTTCCACTCTCCAACATGTCACAACAGGCTCTATCAGAACTCATGATCATGCCCGCCATAGTCGAAACTTTTATTTAGGAAGGGAAATATTTAAGAGGATTCAGTTCTCGAACAGATCATGTTTCAATATATAAAAAACTCTGTACGAAAACTTGTCCAATCCACAGTCTTGCTTATAACAGTATATTTTATTCTTATTGAAAATTGAAGAAATAATTAACGTGCACTCTAATAGCCGTAACGTTACATTGATCGTTAATGTTCTGATCATTGCGAGATGATACGGTACGTTTCCGGAATCATTTTGTTTCGGACGTATGTCAATCATTCCAACCAAACAAGGTACGAAACCACATCGCATTCAACAGGCAAAGATACGCGATACTCATCTGAATTTGTTGCCATGCGTAAGTAACAAACCTTTGATGTGACTGCCAAAAACTGAAAAATCGAGATTCTGCTCGTACAGACGTGTGTAAAAGTGTTACAGATAAAAAAGCAACAGTACTCCGTCTTTACTAGCAGTAACGTAAAGTGACGTGTTTGCGGTTGCGTTACGAGTCATATGTTACGAATTGATTCGCATCTTAAGAGAGTTCAAAAGAAGCAATTTACCTCACCTCATTAATAAGATCTCACGAAAAATGTAGAATTGTTATAAATGCTGATTGCTGTTGAAAGTTGATACTCTACCAGAAAATGAACATTTTGAATGAAAAAGAAGCACCGCAGAAACTAGGCTTTATTTTCTGCGCCAGAAATTATTTTACTCCCCAGGATTTCTTGATCAATGAGGAGCATACTCGACCTATTCTGGAATACTGCTTACATATAAACAAACACAGTTTGAGGCGTTCTGACTTCATTATAAAATAGAAGGCTTCGTGTTATTGGTAACCTTTCATTGACAACAAAGCTTACGACTTTAGAACATCACAAGTGTGTGGGAGATATTTCCATTTGTGTAGATACTTTTAGGGGAGGTCAGGCAAGAATCTTGATACTGGTTGAATTGAAGAATTGAGATATCTACGCAACAAATTGATCCACCCCAACAGCAGCATTGAAGACACTCTTGATTCTGCCTCTTTTACATCTTGTAATAACGGAAGAGTCAAGAGAATGTCAAAGTCAGACCAATTCATCGTTTAAAAAGGGATTGGGCAAAAAAGAAAGTTCAGAATTTCTATGGGAATGAAGAACAAATATAAATGATGAACACAGTCATCGAGGAACATGCTCGGTAGAAATAACTAGAGGAATATTTATTTGGTATTTGCATGGTTTGATGTGATGTGGGTCGGTACAATAAAAGCGAGAGCAAACTACTCGATCTCTATACATCCGTATCGCAGAGTGTGTAAAATCCTGCAATGTGAAAGGAATGATACAAAACGTCAATAAAGAGCAGATTAATTATTAACAGATAACCAGGTTGCACTCAAACTGGCGAACAAAAACAAGTTGAGGGGTTCTGAAAGTAAAGCCAGACTTAAATCATCAATCCATACATAACTGTAAGGTTATCAAAATTATTGGAACGGAAGCAGATCACAAAATGGGTTAATAAGAATTTTGATAAAGTATACCTTAGAAGATTCATGAGAGAAACTTTATAATAGGAATCTCTGGAGAAAAAACCCGAAGAAATGCTCAACAGGAGTCGGTTTAAAATGGTTGCAGTTCTATTTTCTGAATACTTCTCGTTCACATAAACCTAACAACTAATGATGTATGACGAAGTCATACAAAGAAGGACCTTACAAACTAGTGAAAAGAACAAAAATATTGGAATAGTTATCATGAAAAGTTAGGAGAAAACTCAATACGCTCGTGAGGGCTCATTGGTAACCATCACTAGTATCGTTGTTGATGCTAGTCTTAAACCAGAATCAGTAGAATTGCCAGAATTACAAATACCAAAAGGACGCCTCTGATAATATTGACAGTATGTATTAACAATTTCAATTAGAGCATATCGAGTTCTCCCACCATTTCATTCCTAACATTTCGTGTATTCAGAATGAAAAGTGTGAACAGTAGTAACTGAAAGGGAATTTTCAGAGCATGAACTTGACGGCAATGATCATTCTTGTATCGTAATCGTAAAAATCACCTCGTAAAACGCAGCTAATGTCTCCCTTTTCTACGGTTACCTTTATGTTTAGTGCTCTCTGGAAATTTCATCCATATGTCTATCACTTTCTCCACAAAAAGGCCACGTAGAACTGTGATAGAACACAGTTACGATCTTGCCAAATAACTGAACTCAGGAATCATTTTTCGTTTGGTTAGTGAATTTAATGTTTTTTTACCAAGTCGTTCAAACTTCCGAAGTTTAAGATAAACTTTAACTTTTATTAATTGTTCAACCCCCAGTAGTATCGAACAAATTTCATTATAACATATCATTTCACTCGATATATTATGTAAAAACATTTTTTTGAATGTAGTTTCCTCAGAACGAGAAAAACAGACAATTATGGATACTTACATTTCATTAATATTCAATGATCATTTTCGCGTGTAACTCAAAAAACCAAGTTTTTCCAACAGTGTTCAAAATTATCTCAGTATGAAAATTGTTAGATATCAAATATCAATGTGATGGTATCAGTATCGATTACAAAATCTGGGTTTCTGTTGATTGAAATGCCCGTTGAATGACTAAACAGATGAAAAGTGACTTTTTGAAAATCTTCGTACTTGGGTAGGACAACTACAGCATCTTTGCCTTCCATTTAAGATAGATGATTCGACCAATTGTCAAAGAAGCATATTTAGCATATTACTTGAGTTTCATTTCAAATTTGAATACTCTAATTTCCTGAAGCTATAATCCCTATAAAACAAAAGGATACTTATACCTTCAGAGCTCAGGTATAAGGCTTCAAAGAGAAACGCAATCCTCATGTGAGTGAATGTCAATAACATGGAATTTTATTGTTAGATATGGTGAAAGTATAAAGCTTGTATATTTAAGCGACAAAGTAAATGTTTTCATAGGACGAAAACGGCAGACAATTGATGAGAACTGATGTTAGGTATATACTTCTTTGCTCTGAAAGGATAATTTTCCGTGTAACATTTCCCATCCAATAGAGTAAGTACGTTTTGTTTTCAACTAAGGTAAGTAGAAGCTTGTTCATTGATTAGCTATATCGCGTGAAAAAATGGATGGGATATTTTAAAAATAATTTTATAACTCCAAGCACAAACAACGTCGAATTCTACAGACGATTTGTAAATAGATTCAAAATATAAGTAGGTATTTATATTTTTTCCACAATGTCAAAAGAAATGATGCTTCGGAATCCGGTGGTCAAGTATGGTCACCTACGTGTGAAACAGAAAATCCTTGCAATGTTTCATGAGTTATTTTGAGATAAAAAGTTTAGATTTTGAAAGTTACCACAATTAAAATAATCAGGTGATGAATACAACCACAAAGGATTATTCATAGATCACCGTGATAATTTACAAATACATTCTTGCGGTATGCTCACCGTACAACGTAAATACCAAGCAACATATGTACAAACAATTGATTAGGTAGCTACCTTTTTGTTAACTGACTGATAAGACGCTGGGGAATTATTTGGCGTCGCCGGAGGACCTCCCCTTTTCAGTGGAAACTTTTCCATTATCACACAGCCTGAAATTAAAACTACATCAAAGTTCTGGCAAACTACTGTTGCTCCACATTCCGACAGTATATCTTTCACTTGTTAATTTCATTTCCTTGTACTAAGTGAAAGCTATCGATTCGGGTCGCATACGATATTTACCATTTTAACCAATTTTTGCTTGAATCACTTGCTATAAATATTGCACATCGCGAAACTAACCAATAAGTATTTCTTGCGCGTCACTGATTTGATAATCACATTAATCACCTTACCAAAGGCTCACTATTGTCGCTGTCACTGTCAGATTTGATAAAAATATCACGTGAACCGCGTAGGAGTGTGTACACAAAGAAGCTGTTGGCAGCACTGACGTGGATAAGCGATGCGGCGTACTACAGACAGTGTTGCCACGTTCTGTGGCGGTGAAATCTAAAATAATTTTAAATTATCTCCTCGAGCAACCACAAAATATTTTTCTCTGTTAGAATGCATCATCTGGAAAATATTTTGAGAAAATAAAATTTGTGCAAGTATTTCGGAACCGTTTTTCACAGATATCTTCTTGAATTTTCTTAAAGAAATTGGAATACATATTTTGGTATGAAATTGTTCCTTCACAGAACTAATTTTTACTGTTCACATAATTTCTGGAAATGTCATTTGAAATTAGATCGAAACGAAATTAGAAACTACGGACTTTTTTAACTGTCTACAGGTTAATTAAGTGCGGGCATCATATACACGTCAAGCTGATTATAGGAAATATCGCCCTATTGTACTTATCTAATTTCAAGTTTTTTCACCGTATGGTCAATTTGAAATGTCAACCAACCATATTAAGAGAATTTACATAAAATTAAAGCATTTGGGAGAAGCCAGTTTGAGGAAAACTACACCCGGTATCCGGTTGGGTTGACATGCGAGGTTTGTTCCACTCATTCAGTCAACATTCAGGTGAAATGGTGGTTCAAGCCGCGAGGTCCGACGATCACTGCCTATCGTTCAACCCTTGCTAGGAATCGCACGTTGAAAGATAAAACCTCGTTAATCAGTAGCTCGCACAAGAGTCGACATTTGAGGGTTGTCGTTCGTAGAGGGGCGACAGCTTGTTAATGGAAAACATATTTTGAAGAGAACAGAACAGATCTGATCATCACAAAGCACATGTATATATCCTCATTTGAGTTCGCAAGAGATTTTTTGAATACAAAACACCGTAACGAATTTTTATTCGATAAACATAATATGATGAAAAAAGTTTAATAGATAGATGAATAGATAGAAAGATATCCTTTATTATTTCTTTGTAATAAACAACCTTTTCAGGTGGAGAACATGTCAATTACAGTAAACATCATGGAAGTAGTAGGAAATCATGAGGCAATATCATTAATATTGGTTAAGAATAAAAATGGTCACAGATGTATGAATAACAAGGTTATCACAGTTAATATACTTAATGTAATATTATTATATTAGATACAGAACTCGAACATATACATCTATATGTAGGGTTCAAAAGAGACTAAACTACATTACAATGCAGAATGATACGACATGAAATATTCAACGCGAACAACATCAGTTTTTTTTGATAAATTCAAAGGTACGTGTTGGCCAATTCAGACTATTGGGCAAAATAGTAACTTCTTAATATGTATGTGAAGACGTCTTTCTCATCCAAACCGGTATTATAGCAACCCGCTATCCCGCTTTCTATATACTACTTCATCTCGATACAAAAAAATGTGGGATTCTTCCAAAGAAAGGAACTAAGGTAGAAAAGAAGTAACTCTATACATAGATGTGTAGATGATGCAAAGAAGTAACTTTCAGGCACAAACTGAAAAAAAAAGCCCTACTGAAACAGCAACTTTCACATAAAAACATTGAATTTCACGAAAGAAAAATTCTTTCGAAATAAATACTTTTATATGAACACTGAATTATACAAAAACACTCTGCTATACTGAGTTTATATTCCAAACATTCGTTATGGAATTGAATCAGATATCATTCACAGGCTTTCTACACATTATACTGAATGAAAGGTAAACATTTTACTTATATGGAACACTGTCATCCTCACTGGTAGATATCGATCTTTCGCTCTAAGACACTTCTTTGAATATCTGAAAAGTTCTTTCATACACTGAAAATTTCTATTTGAAAGCTTGAATTGGAATTTCAAAAAGTACAGTTTTTAACACCATGTATGTTGCTGTTTGTGTTACGATTCCTCAGTAATATATTTGAGGTGACACCATTTTATGAAGTATAATTGAATCTGTGTTGCTTTTGAATGATTGGATTGATTTCGATTGTTTTATTTCTTTATATCCATGGGAGCTTTAGGATTGCTCAAAAACTTGCCTAATCGCCAAGAAGTGGAGTTGATCTTGGCTAAAAATGCAATGGGCTAGAAGGAAATCAAATCTTAAATGAAGATATATTGGCCATCCTTATAAAGTATGTAATACTTACTATGAATCTCACGTTTACAGGCGAAACCTTATTGATTCAAATCTCGCATAAGTTTTGACTTCTGAGGGTTGTAAGGCGATAACTACCAGTTGATGGAAAAATAAATTTTGAAAGATTTATTCACAACGCTTTTCTGTAAATATAAAAATGGCTCAATTTTTGTTACTCATACTTTAACAAATTAATCAGTATAATCCAAATATTTCTTTCATGCCCTCAAATATCTTGAGATATCAGAATTCAAATACAATCTGGCAACTAACTACAAAAGCGGGTGACAAAACCCATACAGCAGATCGCTTCCTCTCGTAGATTCAATGATTGGCTGGTAGATGGAACGTACTGCATGTACTTGCATTATTCGCTTGGGCACGATTGAGACATTCATTTATTTGTGCCTTCAGATTTTTTTTACATATTCAAATCAAACCAAACTTGTAGAAAATAACTTGGCAAAAAACTCATAGTTCTGGAAATGAATCTGTTTGCCATATAAATTTAATAGTATTTCTTTGCCGCTGTTGGGCAGGCTCTTAATGAAAATGACTGGGATATCATCGAGCCCGGGAGAGGAATTTTTGGTGTTGGTTTTTTGGTAAAAATATTTGCTATCAATAGGATGGATTTCCACCACATTTTCAGTTGAACTTCGAACTCATTCATTTGTTATGATTTCAATATGATGGTTAGTTCGTTGTTAAAAGTTAACTTGGCTGAATGACTGTATTTTATTGTATTTCATTTGGTGGTGAGGTTTTGAGGGATTGCTATCACAAATGGTGTCATTTTATTGAATTGAATTATAAACTAGAATCCTCCTGGTACATAAAAAGGGTTCAGTTAATGAAAAATATATTTTTTTATCATATTCGAACAATTTAATATCATATTTGTAAAACGACAGTATTTCTAATATGATTCCTAAGGTAAGGGCAACAATTACTTTTCAAAACTTCTGCCATATAATTTCTATAATAAATACTATAGTTGCCAAACCCAACGCACAGAGAAGGAGTATGAACAATACATGTAAATGATGCAACTTCAAAGTTTGCATTTCATTTGACCATCTTTTCATTTTCTTATATGTTAATTTTTTCTCGAATCCGTACTGTTTGAACAAAAACATGCATCTATTGAATTGGCGTAAGTAGGGAGAATGTTTCCGTAGAGAGAAAACGGTAACCCCAGGCACCAAAGGTTCTTCTATAATTTTATAAATCGGATCGCCATATTCTGCTCTATAATAGTTTATGTAGTATTCAGCCAATGATCTTCGTGTGAATATTGCACCGCTGACGTTTTTTTCATATAAAAGCAAGTCCGTATTTTCAACCTCAACGTATTGTTTCTGTAATCCAAGTTCTTCAGGTATCAGGGGGGAGTTCGCCCAGAAGTGGTTAATGTATATTTGCAGTCCACTTTTTCTTAAATCTGCGAATGTTCTGATTTTGTTGTGGATATTTGAAGTTATGAGCATGTTTGTCAAATTCGTGTTGAACGTTGCGCAAATCACAAAACTGCAGAATATCCAGAGCATTAACAAGCATTTCAGTTTTCCTTTGATCTTCGAGAAATAGAGTGTTGGTTCACCCAGTGAAGTTAACAGAACAATTAGAAAGCTATATACCAGGCCAATTTTTGTTTCTGAAGCCAATCCCAAGTAGAAAATAAGTACCATGGAACTTATTACGAGCAACCATAAGATAATGGTGGATGGACTAGACATAATAAGTAAATTCTGATAATAAGGTATTTTGCCTGGTCTTGGTATCACAATCACTTTATACTCAAAGTCCATAGGGTATGAAATTGACGTATTGATGAAGTAAGGTACCTGTAATAGAAAGTGACAAATTAGAGATATTTAATTATATATTATAAAATAACGGCCATCTTGTTGAAGCTACATCTGTCAAATTAGCTGCCATTGTTCAGTTTGTTTTGCCAAATCATCATGGACGGATATAGCATTCAACAACACGTGCAAATAATTAAATTGTTATATCAAAATGGGTGTTCTGTTCGGGAAACGTACCGCGCGTTCCGCCCATTTTATGGTCGCCCTAATCGTTCTACCGAAAGGACTATTCGCAATGTGGTGGATAAATTTGACTCCACTGGGCTCTGGAGCAGTTGACAACTAACGAATTGACCCTAATTTTCATCAAAAATCATCTTCAGCGATGTGGCCAATTTCTGGATGAATGGGTATGCGGACAAACAAAATGTCAAATTTGGGACGATACTGTAACGAATTAAAGAACAAATTCATTTTTAACAATATTTCACTATCACAACTAATTTATATACAACACTTAGCAACTAACGCTTAATTTATCTTCACGGTTAAAATTCTTTCTTTAAACGCACGATTCACTTTCTAGGTACAGACTGCCATCTCGGGATACCGAATTTCTTGTTGAATACCACAGCGATACCCTTGGACATTTGGAGATCTTCTGCCACGCAGTGAGCTAGTGCGTAATCAACTGGAACCTTGAAAAGGTCTCTTGACTCTTCTCGACTTACCCCATGTACGACCTTCTGTCCATTCGAGTATAAGGACATGAATTGCTGGAATGCCATTCCATCTTCTGGTGGTCTGAGAGCGCGAACTTGATCGTGATGTCCTGTATAAGGAGCCAATCTATCAAAATGGACGATCTTAGGCTTTCCTCGGGGTGGTTTATGCATTCGGTAGACGAGGTCATTAATCTTTTTCATGATTTTGTACGGACCTTCCCACACGTTCCGCAACTTCGGTGATAAACCACGGCATCGCTTAGGGTTGTACAGCCAAACTAGGTCACCGGTTTCGAATTCTCCAGCATTCGCCTTGACGTCATAGGCCTTCTTCATTCTATCGCTGGCACTCCGGA